TCCTATAAGAGGCAGGCAGGCCCAGGGATTTAGCGCAGTAGCACTGTGACTGCCTTGCAAGCACAAGGTTCTGAGTTTGATCCCTGGTACCTCCCCCGCAAAAAAGAGAGTCAGGGATAGAAAGATTGACCATTAAAAAGAGAAGAAAAGCCACATGACAGAAGTAGGAGGAAGCAGATTCAGATATACAGGACGTTGTACTGATGGCTTTGAAAATGGAGGAAGAGGCCACAAGCCAAGAAATGCCAGCAGGAGCTGCAAGAGGCAAGGAACACTCACCTTTGACAGCTTCAAAAGGAGCTAGCACCCCTGCACCTTGATTTCAACCTCATAAGACTCAGTTTGAATTTCCCATTTCCAGAACTGTAGGAAAACAAATTTCTGTTGTGTAGAACCACTAAACTTATGGTCACTCGTTACAGCAGTCATAGGAAGCTAACACTATTCAGTGATCATTTTATCCTGAGACCCCTTTCTAGCATAATAGTGGGACCTTCAAGCCAGTCAGAGGAACAAGAATCCTTAGGGAAAAAGAACAATATTAACACCTTAGGAAAAACACATTCCGGTGCCTCTCTGACCACTGGGATCCAGTTCAATTTTCTTCTGCCCTGAGTTTGGGAAGGTGATGATAGAAATCTATTTGCAGCAGCGCAAGAGTCACCAACCAAAATTGTCACTTTTGCATTTTTGATAACAATAGAGTTTACTTCTTTTCCAAATGCATCAGCAGGACCAGTGGAGAAGGCCTGGAAAGTGACAGCTAAGATTAGCTTCCAAGCTCCCCACTGAGACCTTGAGTGGCTGTCAGCCCTGCAGGGAACAGCAGCAAACCCTCACGCAAATGGCCTATAAAAAAGGCCTTGTCAGAGGCACCTTGACCTGCCAGGGCTTCTCTGGTACTCAATTCCCAGGGGCCCTCCCAGGGTTATGCTCCCTTGCATGATGTATTTCCCCTGCCTTTTTTAGAGCGGCATTATGCTCGCTCCAGGAAACAGCCTCTTCCTCCTCATAAACACAGCCTTGGGTTACTGACCAAGCGCCGTGCAACTTCGTGGCTCCTTGTCCATCCATCACACCTTGCTGTCACCCTGGCTGCGATTATGGAGAACAGGTCCAAATCCAGAAATGAACTTGGGGTGGGGAGAAGGAAGGGAGCAGCTAAGGTTCACACACACACAACTCAATTCCAGCCCATGGGTAAATTCCTTGGAAGCTGGCTGGCCTGTATAGTGAGCAAGTGTTTCTGGTGACCCAGAAAGTGCGGTAGAAAAGTCTCAATATGATTACCACCAGATCTGGGCTTAGCCTCTCCACTCCTTCAGTTGTGTGTACAGGGACCAAGGATAGGACAGGGCAGCAGTACCACGGAGAGGCTGAGTTCTGAACAGAGGGGAGATGTAATAAGAAGCTCTGACTCCTTGAAGGCAAGTGAGCTGTAGCTGAGGATGGGATTTGAAGGATCAACATGACTTACCCCCAATATATGCTCCTTTGACTCTTGCAGTGCACATGGGAAATCCCACTAATGGCTTTGAGATATCTAATATTTATTGAGTGCTTATTATTTGCCAGGCATTATTTTAATCTCCATTATCCTATCAAGCCTGTACTTTTATTGCCCCAATGTTTGGATGAGAAAATGAAAGTACAGAGACAAAAATTAAGTTACAAAAATTCACAGAGCTGGTAAGTAGTAGAACTGAGATTCAAACCAACTCAGCTTCAAGTTTGAATTCTTCCTGATCTAAATTCAAAGCTTGACATCTTTCCTGATCCCTCTTCCTCTTTTCCAGTGTCCAGAACATCCCATTAGATCTACCTTTACAAAATCTCCCCAATTTATTCCTTCTCCAAGGCAGACCCTTAGCAGCTCATCTCAAACTCCCAGCCCAAATATTTTCCTCCAAAGCCTAACTACCACATCATCAATTTATCACTTTATGGAAAACATTGCTACCTCTTACAGTTCTTCTACAGATGCAAAACCCTAGGGGGAAGAATATTTGATTTAAAAATAAAAAGACGAGATTAAATCCCACTGCTATTAATTAGCACATGGCCCATAGCAAGACTCTAACTTCATGGAACCTTGGTTTGCTGACCTTTAAAACAAAGCTATTTTTTCCAGCTACCTTGCAGCTAATGTTTAAAAAGAGGTTTTAGGGCCAGGTATTTAGTCCAGTGGCACTGTGACTGCCTTGCAAGCACAAGGTCCTGAGTTTGATCCTTGGCACAAAAAAAAAAAAAAGAAAGAAAGAAAGAGAGACAGAGAAGTTTTAAAAGACTTTTGCAGTATTCAATATGCATCGTTTTATATTCTTAGGAACTTTGTGTGAATGGTTTTACTAGGACTCTTAAAATAAGAGTGCTGGATACCTAAGGGTACTGAGCCAAGTAGGTCCAGCCATTTTGCCTCAGGGTAGCCCTTCAATTCTAGTACATAAAAATATATTTGCAGGAGGATTTGTTTACATAATGTATATATAAAATTATGTAAATACATAATCATGCACATATGTGTTTAGGCATTAGTAAAAGGCTGCAATTTGCATAATTGTACATATCACATAATTATACGTAAAAAGACAATACCAGATTAACCTATGTTTTACTAAGATCAATAACAGCATAGATATGAGAAACCCAAAGTATAAATAAAGAGCAAAATAGAAGATCGAAAATAGCAAACAGAGAAATATAATTTTTGCAGATAGGAAGAGGCCCAAGAAATAGGGGAGGGGGGAAGAGACATAAAAATAATTAAGATGTGTCATGGACACCTGCCAACTACTGACAATGGATGTATCCATTAGGTACTACAAACATGTAGTAAGAAAAACATATTTAGGGTAAAATGTCAACAGTCGGTAAACCCATTAGAATATCAGCAAAGAAAAAGAAATAGATGAAATGAAATGGGAATGTGTTCATTTTTAAGTCTAGGTAGTATGCATATGGATGTCCACTATGGCATTCTATCTACTTTTACATATATTTTAGCAGTTTTGTAAAAAAGTTTTAAATATATTAAGAAAAATGTAATGATATATATATAATATTCGTCATGACCTATTAACTTGTAAAGTGAGTTACAAAACAACATGGAAGCTGGGCGTGGTGGTGCACACCTATAATCCCAGGACTTGGGAGGCTGAGGCAGGAGGATCACTGAGAGTTCAAGGCCAACATGGGCTACATAGTGAGTTCAAGGTCAACCTGAACTACATAGCAAGGCCTTGTCTCAAAACAAACAAAATGTGGATAAGTTACCATATTTGTATTCAAAAAACAGAAGAAGAGAAGGAATATAATGTTTTTCTGGCAGTAAATATTCCCAAAATTGTAATTTGGTTATTATGGTTTTTTTTTAAATCATCTTATTTGCTTTTCCATATTTTGTAAATTTTGCCAATCTACAATCATTTTACTAAAGGCAGTTATCCATCTTAGTGTAATTAGATTGTGGGAAATACTACTTAAAAATGAATGCCTTGGGGCTCTCAACCACAGTGTGGATAGCATGGGGTGAAGTGGAATAGAGCAGGTTCAGTCCCCAGCACCAAAACAAATAAGCAAAGAAGCAAATGCCTATTAGATAGACATATTTTAGAGTTCGAGAATAACATAATTGGTTAAGCTGTGAAAAACAAACAAGCATTATCATACCTACTTCATGAGACTGTAACCTGCTACCACTTTTAAGTGTGCATTTAGCAATAGCTATTAAAATTCTAAATGTAAATATGCCATTTTTTTAGAAATAAAAAAGAGAAGAGTGGAGGAGAAGACTGGGAAAGAAAGTTCTTCCCCAGCAAAAAGGCAAGAATGAAATGACCCCATGACTCATCTGTGATGCATTGCTTAAATGCACCATGGTTTACCCATGCAATGGAATGTTGCAAAGAAATATGTTCAACCAGGCATGGTGGCCCACACCTCTAATCCCAGCACTCGGGATGCTGATGCAGGAGTATTGCAGTGATTTCAAGGCTAGTGTGGGCTATAAGGTGAATTTAACACCAGCCTGCACTGTAAAGCAAGACCTTGTCTCAAAAAACTGAAAAAAAATATGTTCACATCAACATATATTGCTATTTTATAGAAGATAGGTACTGAAATCTTAAATTAAATGCTACCATTGATGGTTGTGGTGGCACATGCCTGTATTCTAGTACTATGGGAGGCTAAGGCAGGGAGACTGCAAGTTTCAAACCAGCCTGGTAATAGCCAGAACTGGTCTCAGGAGGAAAAAAAAAATCTGTACAAAAAGGAAGACGTAAAAAATGAAATGTACTTATTTGCTTCCATGTACACAATATATTTCTGAAAGCTACATTTAAAAATTCATAGCAGGTCATGTGTGATGGCGTGTGCCCATAATCTCAGCACTTGGGAGGCTGAGACAGAAGGATAGTTTAAATTCAAGGCCAGCCTGGGCTACAGAGCTAGTTCAAGTCCAGCTTGAACAACATAGTGAGACTCTGTTTCAAAAACAAAACCCAACAAACAAATAAACAAAACAACTCCCTGATAATCCTGGTTGCCTCTGGAATGAACCTAAGGCCTGGACACGCAGAAAAATAGAATACTGCTACCTTCTGAAATTTGAAAAACATGAATTTAGTACCTAGTCAAACAAATAAGTGCAATCAGTGCAATACAATAAAACAAACAAAAAAGAAGAGATAGAGTGAGGTCTGTACATTTCCAGGTGAGAAAAATTGCAAGAGAAAGAACAACCAGAATGAAATCTAAGATTATTGTAAAGGCCTCTGGTTTCTATCTTTTTTTTTTTTTTTTTTTTTTTTTTTTTTTTTTTTTTTTTTTTTTTTTGTACTGGGGATCGAACTCAGGTCCTTGTGCTTGCAAGGGTGGCACCAGAACCACTGAGCTAAATCCCAAATCTTTTACGAAGATTCTATAAATTGAGGCTGCTAGAAATAACAATATATTTTGTTAATTTGTCATAGCCCAGGTTTTGTTTTGTTTTGTTGTTTTTTAATATAGAACGCTTCACGGATTTGCATGGTGTCCTTGCACAGGGACCACGCTAATCTTCTCTGTGTCATTCCAGTTTTAGTATACGTGCTGCTGAAGTGAGCACCATCACCCAAGTTTGAATGATGGGTTTGAAAAGTGGGGTTCTAGTCATTCTTTGACTGATTCCTCAAGGACCAAGCCCTTTTCAAATGTTCAAAACTTTATCGAGAGTCAAAACCTAAGAGGGCAAGATTTACAAGGTTTGCTTTATGCATCTGTGAGGACATAATCCAGGGGATATATTCCTCTGAGATTTTCCTTTCCCTCTAGATCCAGGCTCCTGGGCTCCCTCCCTTCCCCAGGGAAGTGTGTGCTTAGGAATACAGAACTATCTATATATTAGGTCAGCAAGCACAGAGCTCAGAGAATGCCTTCTGAGCAGATACAGCAGGATTGGTTTGAGGGTTCTTTTTCTGCACAAGTATCAGGCTTGAATTACCTCTACAGTGCTTTAATTCTTACATTTTGCTGTTTTGGCAGTCCAGGATTCCCTCCATTACTCCAAGTGAATAAAGAGTTAGCTGAATGGCTAGGATATACGTAATTTACTTTACTTTAGCATCTGCTTACTCGGGTTTAACTCCTTTCCGAAATAAAAAGTTGACACTAGGATCCAGAATTTCACTTCACATAATAGCCCTGTCATTGTTTTTGTTTGTTTGTTAACTCTTTTCATTTCCCAATTATAGAGGAGGGAGAGGAAGCCCAGTAAGGAAAGCTGGATCCCAATTTAAAACCAATCCAATTTATGTCATAGCATCCTCAGAGTCTCAGAAGGGGTAGTCCCTGGAAAATACGTCACTGAGAATTTGATTAGCCTAAGAAGAAAGACCCAAAGATTCTGACATCAGGGATTCTGAAACGAAGAGTTCACCCAAATCACAATGCAGTGAAGCTCAGTCAAAAACATCACTTCTGCTCTCAAATCATTCCTGGTCTCAGAATTGAGGTCAGATCTTAATTAAGCAAGTTGCAAGTATCATTAGACATCTGAGGAAAGCCAATGTCATGAAATGCAATGATCAAAAGAAGAGAAAGGGCCGAGGTGTGGAGTGTGTACTTGGCATGTACAAGACCCTGGGTTCAATGGAGGTAGGGGTGATAGGAGGGAGAAACTTGGGGACTGGGTATGTGTCTGCATGGTAAACCACTTATTGGACTCTTGTGCAAGATCCTGGGTTTGAATCCTGACATAGCAGAATAACTTGGACAATACAGCATGTAAGCAAAAAGAAGAAAGCAAAACAAAATTATAAATATTACCTTCAGAAAAAGGAAAAAATGTTGCAACCATGGAATAAGAACAGAATGTTGTGTTAAAACAAAATAGCACTTAGAAGACAAAATAAAAAGGCACTCATGAAAAGTAAAAACATGAAACGATAGAAATTAAAAGTAAAAACATGAAACAATAAAAGTTTCAGCTGTTGGGTAGGAGACACAAACCAGGAAAACTCCCAGAAAATTGAACAAAAAGTCAGATGTGAAAAAACTGAAAAGATAAAAATAAGGATTAGTTTAAAATCAAATATCCAAATAATGGAAGAAAGAAAGAGAAAAGTAGGGGAAACAAGAATCAATGAAATAATTCAAGAAAATTTCCCAAACTGAAGGACATCAAGTACTTAGCACAATGTATGAAAACAGACCCACACTAAGGCATATTACTGCAAAACTTTACCGCATTAGAGTGGGGATGAGAAAAATTTCTACAAGATTCCAGAGAAAACCTGGGAGACTTACAGAGCATTCAAACTTCCCAATGCATTAGCCAGGTGTGGTGGTGCATTCCTGTAATCCCAGCCCTCAGGAGTCTAAGGCAAGAGGATTGCCATGATTTCAAGGCCAATTTGGGCTAATAGTGCATTCAAGGACAGCTGAACATAGTGAGACCCTGTCTCAAACAAACAAACACAGAAATTTAAAAAAACAAAAAACGAACAAACAAACAAAAAAACCTCAGCACTGACATGGAAAGCAATGAAGAAATGCTTTCCACATCCTGGAAAAAAATTTTTTTTCTAAACAGAATTTTAGATCCAGACAGAAAATCAAATATGAAGATAGAATTTAAAGTAGGTTTCAGGCATTCAAGATCTCAAATTGTTGACTTCCTGCACACTCTTTTTCAAACCCTTTTGAAGATAAGGTAAGAAATGAGGCAGTAACCATTTAAAAAAACGTAAGATACAGGAAGCCAATAAGACAACATAGAAGAGGGGTAAGGATACATCCTGTGACAGTGATTTAGGTTCCCAGAAACTTTTCCCCCATTGCAGGGGACTGATTGTCCTCTTCATATTGGGGCACGAAAATGAAAGGACTAGACATTCTGAGCACTGTCGTCACCAAGACCTCTCCTACCACTGTATCATCTTTCAACCTGAAGCCAGAGAACCCCAGAGAGCCTGACCCGGATTCTTGTTTATATTGGCCTTGTCCTGACAATGTATGGATTCTAGGTCTTCCTTCCATGCCAGCAGACTGGGCCAGCTAGAGACACCCCTTTTACCCTACAGAAGTCTTCTCCTACCTATTCTGAGAGTCAGAGAGTCTACAGATGCTCAGAAACAAGCCATACAAAGCAGCCCACTTTCGATATCCACGAATCTGCTGGACATCTAGTCTTTCTCCCACTACAAATTGGCCAGATTCCCTGGGTTGAGTCTGCAGTTTCAGGACTTAATTATGGTCTTGCCCACTGAGCTCTCAAAGATGGTTCAGATAAACTCTCGGGAAAGCTGCAGTAAAGCTGTTCACCTTAACTTCCCTTAGGAGTCTTCATCTAATAGTGCTAATTTGTCTTTTTCTTACAAAGCTAGATTTGTGTTTGGTATTCAGACTGAAAAAAAAAAAAACCCTGAAGCAATAGAGTGTTTAGAAGACACATAGGTTGAAAAATTTTAAAGAAAGGACTAAAACAATAATATCTGGGGGGAGAGCATACAATGGGGTGGTATATAATTGAATTCATAAGTGCTTACATTTTATTCATTGTTGTTATCGCTATTTAAATTGAGCATATGCTTTATAATCCTTAGTACATGCACTGAAATGCACAAACACGATGATATACAGAAGAAAAAATCCATAATCCTGCCATCTAATCATAGCAGATATTTCAATGTTCAAGTATTTCATCTTTTTTTCTGTGAATTTTCCTAATTGAGATTAGTTGTGTATACATTTTGATATATCCTTGTTTTTGAGACTATTTTTAACATGAATATCCATTCTTAAGTTCTTTACATGTTTATAATTGTATTAATATAAAATTGTATTGAAAAAACTACTCCCTGTTTCAAAGAGCACAACTCTTAGGAGTAACATGGACTGAATTTTTGTGCTGGTGGAAGCTCGTACCTGAAAATGCTTGTGGGGTGATTGAGAATGTCCTCCCAACACGCCATAACCCTGTCCAGTTTCCGCCCTCCATCAAGAGACAACTCAGACCGCACCTCCTCCATGAACCCTTCCCTGCCCACCTTCCAGGTAAACCCCTTCTTTAGCCTTCCGGAGTACTTGTTATCTATTCTGCTTCTTTTTAGCACTCTTTATGTTCATTTCTTTTCTACACTATAAGTTCTCAGGAAGCCTACCAAATACTAAGTGCTCAGTAAGTAGTAAGTAAATAAATTTTGAAAGACTGCTTTTTTATTCATTGCTCCACTGCAAATAGTTTGTCTATATAGGTAAGTCACGTATGGGCTTTCACCCAAATTGAAGGTTCTCAAATCTATTCTGTTTGTGCACAATTGCCACATTCAGAAATTGGGAACATGACCACCCCTACTGTTTCTTTCTTAAAGGGCTGAATTAAGGAAGTTTGAGTTATAAAAATAACACTTATGTTTATTGAGGGCCTATTAGGTGCTAGACACCAGACTGAAAAGTTGGCCTGCATCTGTAATTTTAATTCCCACAATAACACTATGAAGCAAAGGCTATTTTATTTCCTCACTTTACATCTCAAGAAACTAGACCACTTACCCAGAGTCAACTAGGTTGTATACAGAGGAATTGGAACTCCAACCCAGAAGTAGCTGACTCTCATATTCATTTCTAAGCAAGGCTGCCTCCTCAGAAATTATAGTATAAAATCTAAATTTTAACCTTCAGTTCTCAGTTTCATAGCGCAAAATCAATTCTCCAACAGATGGCTAACACTTGTGATAAAACATTGTCACTGAAAAACAGAAAAGAACATTAGATAATTTTTAGAAGAGAAAGAAGAAGGAAATACACAACTATGCTACCTAACAAATATTGCCATTTCAGAGTACTCTTTTCCAATCATTTTTCATATATATCTTTAAAAAGGAAAGAATATCCCTAGAGAGTTGTATGTATGCTTTTAAGCGAGGAAGTCTGCTCAGTCATAGGGTAAAGAAAAGAGAAGCACCAAAAAGACATACTTCAGGTATTGCACAGACTGGCTTGGAGGCTCATCTTGCGTTATTCAGAATCCTGAAAATATAACAAAGATCAAAGTACAGTTAGCAAGAAGTTGATTTTCTGCACAAAGATAGCTTGCATGGAGCAAGAGCCTGCTGGCTGAAAAGAGGGGACCGAAGTTGATAGCACTGGCTTGTGTCACGTATTATGTCTAACGCTGCTGATGGTGTAGCAAAGAGTAAAATGTACTCTACTAGAAAATGCTGATCTTTAGCAGAGGTTGTTCAGTTCTTTCAAGTCTATTTTTTTTAGAAAGATACTAAAAAAAATCTTTCCCTTCTCTTTTCTTTCTCACATCTCTTTTTACCCAGCTTCTCTTAACCTCTTCCCTTTCTTTGTCTCTATCTATGAGTGTGAATTCCATCCTTACAGACTAGAGTGGGTAACTGCAATATGCCTGATACTTTGGTTCTTTATATATTATTGAATTCCTAAAACAGAGACCATCTCAGTGATCAAAGTTTCCTAAGATCTAACTGCCAGGTCTTCAAAATCCACTCATCTTAAAAATGAAACAAAAAAAGAAACAGAAGGTATCAGTCATTATTTGTACTGACTAAGGGAACTGGTGACAGAAATCTTGTGTGCCTTGCTGAATAGTGCCTTGTA